ATCACTCCTAGCTGCACCGCCTTCTCCACTTACTTTCCAATACCTTTTTATGTGTTGTCTTCCCTCAGTAGAACATAAGCTCCCTGAGGGAAGGAACTGTCTTAGTTGCTATTTTCTAGTGCTTTAAGGTTTGCAAATTGCTTTACAAATATTACCTCATCTGATCTTTATAATGACACTGGGAGATAGATGCAATTATTATCTCAATTTTACAGATGAGAAAACTGAGGCAGGCAAAAGTTAATGACTTGCCTGAGGTTGTGGTTAATTAGTGTCTGGGGCTGGATTTGAACTCAGGTCTTGTTGAGTTCAATGCCCCTTCCCTTGTGCCACCTAGCTGCCTCCATGTATACAGTTCCTGGCACACAGTATGTGCTCAATAAATGATCTATCTCTCATGCTCAGGGGGTGGCACAGCATACAGAGCGCCAGGCCTGGAGTCTGGAAGACGTGAGTTCAAATTTGACCTCAGACTCTTGCTGTGTGACCCTAGGCAAGTAGCTTACCCCTGTTTGCCTCAGTTTCCTCATTTGTAAAGAGCCAGACACAACTGATTACCACTGAACAACAAAGTCTGTCTGTCACGTGGTCTGGGGGCGCCCAAAGGCCCCACCTCATCACCTTTCCCCACTACCTGTGCTGGGATAGAGTGGTTTCCCCTATTATGGATACCAGACTGGGTACTGTCTTTACCAGACCCCTGTACCATCTCGCAGGCTGCTTAGGGGCAGAGCCCATCTCCCATTAGCACCTAGGCAGGTGTTGGCTGACCCCAGAGTAAGCTGCAATCTTGGAAGGTAGGAGACAACCAGGAGACGCTCTTGCGGGAGGCCCACGCAAGGGCAATGGGGCTTGCATTGAGGCTCCTGGGCTCCCCTACAGCCCCTGCCTCCCCTGAGGCCTTCTGAAAGCTCTCCCCCCAGCTTCTTTCCATTTCTGCTGCAGCACTGAGCTGGGGAAAGGCCCACAGCAGGGGAGATTTTACTGTTAGAAAAGACCAGAGATGGTCTGGCCCAGCCTTTTCATTTCACACAGGAAGGACCACAGGTTTGGAGAGGTCGAGTGCTTTGCCTGGGGTCATGCAGGTAGCAAGCAGCCGAGCAGAAATCTGAGCTAAGGTTTGCTAGTGCCAAAGGCTCAGCCTCTCTATTACCCCATGCAGCTTGCTAAGGACAGGGGGGATGGACGGTGGTGGAGAGCAGGTGCCAGGCAGGGTATGGTGCTTGGGAAGTTGCCAACCTGCAGAGAAGGCATCTGAGTAGAAGCACCCCTGCTGCAGTCCCGGGCCCCTCCTCCCTTGGCCAGGGGCCTCCCTCTGAGCCCAGCATGGCCTTCAGATGTGCTCATGGACACCAATGGCCCTCTGCAGGAGGCCAGACGAAGCTTTCAGAAGAAAAAAAAACAACCTACAACCAGCCTTTCTCTTTCCCTCTGGGCTCATGTCCTTCCTCTCACCTCTTCCTACCCGGCCCAGTGAGCTGGGATAGAGGAGCTTACAGATGCTACAACGAGGGAGCTCACAGCTACTCCCACTCCTCCCATGGAGGTGTGTGTGTGTGTGTGTGTGTGTGGTCCACAGCAAAGGACGGTCTCAGTGTGAAAAGCACGTCTGTTCTTGTGCCCGTGTGCCCTGCTACCCATAGCATCAGAGATTTAGAGCGGGGAAGGGTCCTCAGATGTCATGTCCAACTGCCTCATTTGACAGATGAGGAAACTGAGGCCCAGAGAGGTTAATCAGCTTGCTTAGGGTCACACAGTTGGTAAATGGCAGAGGTGGGATTCAAACCCAGGTCTTACTGATTCCAAGTTCCGTGCTCCATCTACTATATCACACTTTTGTATATATGCAAATAACATGGACACAATCCACACACACCCATGAACACCCATGCAATGCTACCATATATGTAAATATCCCACATTTACATTGACAATGCCCTTATTTTTATACATGTACAGGTACATGCATGGGCACCCCCAATCAAGCTGTGTCCTCATTCTTCACACACACTGAATTTACATGGATATGCAACACCATATGCACACAGATGTACGGATAAATGCACATATTTGTTAGCTCAACATGCATTTTTCTATGGTTGCATTTATATTCAGTGTGGACCAAGCTCATCTGTTCATGCAAGTATATACAGGTGTATTCTGCATATCTATCTATCTATCTATCTATCTATCTATCTATCTATCTATCTATCTATCTATATCTATACCTATATCTATATCTATATCTATATCTATATCTATATCTATATCTATATCTATATCCATTTTTGCAAATTGTATGTGGATATAGCCAAAACCAGCACTATATGTGTGTAGGTATACATATATATATATCTATATATCTATATATATGCATACACATTTCATTCATTCATTTTCTCATCTATTCATTTGTTGACTCATCTATTCATTTGTTCATTATAAATAGAGCCTGCCTATGCTAGACTTGGAAAGAGAAAGATTCTCGCTGAGAAAGTCTTTCCCCTCACGATCGCTTCCCCCAACACCTTAGTAGGGAGAAAAGACAAATTTCCAGAACTGCGATATACATGAGTGTATGACGAATGCAGGAGAGAAGTGCAAGGCTGGATGTGGAGAAGGCCATTCCCCATTCACTGAAGCCTTCTGGAATTAAGCTTTAAGAATGGGTAGGAATTCAAAAATCAAAATACTACATAAAACCACCAACTTGTAACCAACTGCCACTCACAGGGCAGACAAGTCAGCCTACCCAAATCAAGGCAACCTGAGAGAGAGACAGGAAGCAGGTAGAAGCAGCCCCACCACCTTGACCACCATCCTTCCTCAGACCCTGAGGGAGATAGTTTAGAATCCTGGATCAAGAGCCTTGGGAATGGCTACCTATCACTGACTGATTTTAATCAATTAAGAACCTATTATATACCAGGCACTGGGGATGTAAGGGAATAGGAAAGAAGCAAACAAGCATTTATTAAGTGCCTACTATGTAAAAGGTACTGCTAAATGCATTACAGATATCTAGTTGATCTTCACAAGAACCTTGGGAGGTAGGCATTATTATCCTCTTTTCACAGTTGAGGAAACTGAGGCAGAGATTAAATGTTACAGGTTATATCTGAAGCCAAATTTGAACTCGTCTTCCTTACTTGGAGGTTAGCTCTCTATCTACCGTGCTGTGCTTGGGATACATGACTTCTTCACTCCAAGGCCTGAACTATGCCATGCTGCCTGAGAAGATAAAGATAAAAATGAAATGGATTCTGTCCTCAAGGGGCCTATGGAGAGGACTGATTAAAACCTAGAAGGAATGGCAGAGTTCATCTGGTCCAATCCCACCATTTTACAGATGAGGAAACAGACCCAAAGAGTGAGTTGCCCAAAGGAGTAGGGGAGTAAAAGTATGCAGGAAATAAGTGTGACTTATCAGGAAGGATTTGAACTCAGATCCAGATCTTTTCCATTCTGCAAGCCCATTACTTGGGGGACCTCAGACAAGTCATCCAAGTTCTTGGGACCTGAGTTTCATCAGATCTAAAATGAAAGGATTGGATTAGTTGACCTCTTTCTCCATTCTAAAGCGATGGTCCCATCAACTATCCATAAGGACATAACTGTTACCCCATGTATATGCATGTGTTTCTTTATGCAGCAAAGCACTTGTCTGCCTGCATGAGCACACCACACACGTGTGCATCCCTGCACGTATATGATCAATAGGTGGACACAGAGTTGTATACAGCCACGCACACCCATAGGCATGGTCAGATGTCCCTACCCACTAGGAAGCACCTGCCCACCCTCATCCAGGCTGTGTGGCTGGCAGCTCTCAAGGGAGCCAGCGTGTTCCAGGGGAGGCATTTCAGCTTGTCATTGCAGGGGTCTGGAGTTCTGCTGAGCACTACTCAGGGGACGAGGCTGTATTGGAGCTCTGTGATGTTGAAACCTGCAGCAAGGTCACACTGTATGGAACAGAGAGTCCTCTCCATTGAGGCTCCTGGAGTGAATGCAGGGAATAGGCAGCAGCATTGGCTCCTGTGCAGGGAACGCTGTGTGTGTGTATGTGTGTGTGTGTGTATGTGTGTACGACTGCTCCTGGGAGAAGGGAAACTATCCCCTTAAGAAGGGAGCTTACCTGGGCATTCCCAGGCTGCTTTAAGAATGAGCCAGGTGGCTTTAACAAATCCAAGGATGACAAATGTCGGAGCTGCAAGGGAGCTGAGAGATCGCCCGGCCCAACCTCCTCATTTTACAGGGGGAGGAAACTGAGGCAGGCCAGAAGCTGGAAGGACCATGCTCAAGGTCACACAGCAAGGCAGTAATGGAGCTAGTCCTGGGACCCAGTCCATTGCTTCTTCTCTAATGCCATTCCAAGTGATCCTTCCTTGGCAATCACAAGAAAATCCTTGTCTCCATGGACTCTCTGCTTCTCAACAGGCATCTACATATGCCCACCCAAGTTTCTATGCATGCTATATGGTATACAAATGAACTGAGAGTTCATGCACACCAAGATTTGCACCTTCTCACACCCTTGCGCTAAGTGGATTCAAGAACAGTGAAAAATCATGGAGGAGGGAAGTTCGATGATGCTCATTAGAAAAGGCAGGAAGGGAAAGTTAGGTGGGGTGATGGAATGTCTGCTGCCCTCTCTCAGCGCCTGGGTGCCAACAGAAGTGCCCCCATGTACACACACTGAGAGTACACACCTACATACACAACACCCCGCCACCCTCACCCCCCACATACACAAAGAGCCAAACCGAGCTGACCTACAAACAGCCCCCTACTCAGACCTTACTTCTCCCAGTCGTGTTCTATCAGCTTTATTTTTCTTCTTACCCCTACATCAAGCTGGAGATGCCACCAACCAAAGACAGGCCAAGTTGGGACATCAGGGATGTCGGAAGGCAAAGAAGGCCCGGCCCTTCTGCGAAGAGGCAGCCCCCGGGGGCCGGTAAAGGAAACGGGGAGAGGAGGAGGATGTGTGTGTCACTTACCCAGGGGCAGGACGAAAAAGAAAGGGAACCAGCAGAGGACAAAGACGCCCACCACGATGGCCAGGGTCTTGGCCGCCTTCTTCTCCCGGGAGAACTTGAGCAGGCGGACTGACAGGGAGCTCCGGAAGTTGTGGCCCTTGGCGGCTCGCGTGTCCTCGGGTCCGGAGCTTCGGCAGTGGATGCGAAGGACGATGTCCGCGGACTTGCTCCGCTCCCTCTTGACCCCGGCCTCCAGGCTCCTCGTGGTCCTCCGGGCCACGACGTACACGCGGAAGTACATGACCAGGATGACGGCCATGGGCAGGTAGAAGGAGCAGACGGAGGAGAAGACGGCGTAGCCCGCCTCCTCGGTGATGCCACAGAAGCGGTCGTCGGGGGGCACAGGCTCCTTCCAGCCCAGCAGCGGCCCCACGGACACCACGAGGGCCACGGCCCAGAGCAGGGCCAGGATGGCGGCCGCCTTGCGCTCAGTCATGATGGCCGGGTACTTGAGCGAGTGTCTCACCCCGACGTAGCGGTCCACGGAGATGGTGCAGAGGCTGAGGATGGAGGCCGTGCAACAGAGCACGTCCACGGCGGCCCACACGTCGCAGAAGGCCCGGCCGAAGGCCCAGAAGCCCAGGACCTCCATGGTGGCCGAGAAGGGCAGCACCGTGGCGCTGAGAAGCAGGTCGGCCACCGCCAGGTTGACGATGAAGTAGTTGGTGACGGTCTGCAGGTGGCGATTGCATGCTACCGACAGAATGACCAGCAGGTTGCCAGCTATGGCCGCGAGGATGAAGGCGGCCAAGAAGACCCCGACGCCCAGCGCCTGGGCGCTCACCACGACGCTCCCCACGGCAGCTGTGTCGTTCACCTCGCCGCCGCTGCCGGGGCTGCCCGCGGGGCACGCGACCCCCGGGCCCCCCGGGAAGGTGCGGTTGCCCTCGCCGCCTCCCGCACCGACGACCGCAGCACCCCCAGCTGTGGCGGGGACGCCGGCGACGACTACTCCCGAGCCGTCCGAGCCCCCGCCGCTGCCGCCGCCCCCGCCGCCCCCGCCGCCGGCCCCGCTGCCCCCCGGCCCGTTGTCTGAGCCGTGCCCGTCGAAACCGACTTGGAGCAGGTCCGGGAATGGCATCCTAGAGGGCTGCCGTCGGGGATCGGGCCCGAGGGAACGCGGGGCTGGCGGGGTGCGGGGAGCTGGGCATGGCCCTCCCGCTGCAGCGGCTGCCCTTCTCCTCCGCCTCCGCCTCCGCCTCCGCCGCCTTCTGCTCCGTCTCCTCTTCCTGCTCCCCCCTCAGCCCCGACGGGCTCCTCCTGACAAGTTCCCACGGGCAGTGCGGGGCCTCGGAGCGGTCCGGGAGGGGCAGCCCGGGGACAGGAGGTGGTCGGGGGGCTCCCCTAAGCCCAGCTCCAAGGTGAAAGCTACGAGACCCAAGGGGGAGGGAATGGATCTCCAAGCGCTGCTAAGCCAAGCCTGCTAGAGCGGACGGGAGGCTGGGGTGCAGCCGCGGTTCGGGGCGGTTCGGTGCGGTTCTGTGCGGCTGGGGTCGGGGGGCGGCTGGGGCTGCGGTCCAGGCGGCTGCCACCGCTCGGCTCCCTACTGCTCTCGGCTCGGGCTCGGCTGGCACTTTGGCGGAGGAGAGAGAGCAGCAAAGGGGGGCGGGGGACGGGAGGAGGGGCCGTCAGGAGGAGGGCTCTGGAAGGGCGGGCGGGAGGGAGCTAGAAACTCCTTTTGGAAAGAAGGGACGCGGAGGTTGGGGAAGAGAGAGAGAGAGGGAGAAGGAGAGGGAGAGGGAGGAGGGGCGGGTCTGACTTTCCAGTGGGTTCAGGAGTGGGCAGCCGGCAGCCGCAGCTTGGGCTCAGCCTTCTTGCCGCAGCCTCGTTCTCCAATTCTCCCCCTTCCAGCTCCCTCTTTCTTTGTACCTTCCTTCCCTCTTCCCCTGCTCTCCCGCTTCTTCCCTCTTCCCCGTCCCCTCCCTCACCTTCCTTTCCTCTCTTCCCAGTTCTCCTCTCTCTCCTTCCCCTCCCTATTCTGTCTCGCCCTTCCCTTCGCTTTCCTCTCCTCCCTCCCTCTCCTGGGTTTTTCCTTACAGTCTCTCTCCCTCCTCTCTGCCTTCCTTCCCCCTCACCCCCCTCTCCCCCGTCTTCTCCAGCGCTCTTGTCTGTCCTCGTCTCTCCATCTCCCCCTCCTCTAATCCTCTCCTCTTTTTCCCCTCGTCTACTCCTTCTTCTTCCCCTATTCCTCTCCTTTTCTCTTTCCCCTTCTCCTTTCCCCTTTCCTCCTTTCTTGCCTTTCTTTCTCTATTCCCTTCTCATCCCTACTTCTCCCCTTCCTTTCTCCTAATTCCATCCCTCTCACTTTCAGCGTCCCAAGTCTCTATGCCTCCCCCCTCCCCCTTTTCTTCAGCCACTTTGCCAAATGGGGACAATAATAACGCTTACCTCACACAGTTGTTGTGAGGATCAAATGAGCTAATATATGTAAAGCATTTTGCAAACCTAAAAGCGCTATCTGGGATTATTTTTGAGAAGATGCTTCTGTCCTCCCTACACCAGTCACTAGAGGGCAGCAGGCAGTTGAGATTATTCTCGGTCCGGAGTCTGTAGAAGAGATGTTTCAACCTAAGCCCCTCTTAAATGGATAGTGCTGGATTCCCAGTCCCAGCCCTACTGTGTGATTAGCTAGCCATCCACCTCCACTGGGCCACCCTGTAGCACCCTCTATTTCTCATCCTAGGTGATCCACACATTTTTTAAGTATGTGCAGTTTCACCCCCTGGATCCAGACTTCAGAAAATCCTGGGGCTTGGGACCCTTGGAGAGGTCATCATTGATTCCATTCTCCTGTCCTCAAGCCTCAGAGCTTACGGAAGCAGAGAAAAATTCCAGCACTCTATATAGGATTGTAAACACAGACCTATGATTTAATTGGCTAAAGGGAGCTCCCATTGAGGAAACTCCCTCTACCAATGCAGACTGGCTCCTGTTCAGGCAGTTTAGAGTATTAGAAATTTACCTGGAGGAAGAGGTGGCGGAAAGGTTGAATAGGCAGGCCAATGATTGTACAAATGCTTGACCATGATTCTATTCATTTGGCTCTCTAGACAAGATTCAACCCTGCCCCCTGGATCACCCCATTCCAAGTGCCATCCAACTGTTACCAAATGACAGAACCTCAGAGTTGGAAGGGACCTCAAAGGCTTGAATGAGCATTCCTTCTACCATAGCCCTGACCACGTGGTCATCCAGCCTTTACCTGGAGATCTCTTCGCAGCCCATCCCACTTTGGGATGACTCTAATTATTGGGAAATTTAATTTACTTTGAGCTCTTAGTTTTGCTTTGAGGGGACACATAGAATAAGCCTAATCTTGTTTTCACAGACAGATCTTTAAATAATTAGGACAATCTTTTCTTCTTAGTTCCTTAATTGACAAGATTCTAAGGTCCTTTGCCATCCCGGTTGTCCTCTTTTGGACTCTCCAGTTTGTCAATGACCTTCCTAAAAGATGGTATACTGAATGACCACAGGAGGTCAAACTGTGGTTTGACCAGGGCATCACACAGTGGGACTAGTTTGGAATACTTTGCCTCTCTAGGAAGGAAGCCTAAGATCTCATTATCCTGAACTGCAGAGACACTGTGAGCCTTCCAGATTAAAGCACTCAGCTCTTTTTCGGATACACTGCTATCTAACCATGCTTCCCTCGCCCTGTGCCTATGGAATTGACTTTCTGAACCCAAGTGTAAGATTTACTTTGATTTCTGTTAGATTTTATCTTCTTAGATCTGGACCAGATGTTCTAGTGCCCGTCATAATCTTTTGAGCTCCTGATGCTATCATGCAACGATTAGCTATTGCTTGCCACCGCGAAAATTTATCATGATATGCAAATTTAACAGGCTTGTTATCTATGCCTTTATTTGAGTCATTGGTAAAAATGTTAAGCAGCAAAGGATCAAGGACCAAACTCTGGGAATCCTGTACTAGAGACCTTGCAGATTGACTTGGAATCCTTAATGATCTCTCTTTGGTTCTGGTTATTTATTAAGTTAAATCCATCTACTGATTCTATAATCTAGCCCAAATCTTTCCATCTTTTCTATGAAGACAGAAATGCAGAAAATACACGAGGACAAATATTAGCCTATAAGCAAAGGAGACGATTCTCCTCCTGCTCTGCCAAGTCCTCTCTTTCCTCAGGGTCCTAGAGTCCTCCCCTGTGCTTTGGCTTCATTTTGGATGGGAAATGATCTTGGGGTGGCTAGGTAGGCACCCTCATCTGACCTGCACTGTGAGTATTGGAATCGTGGAAGGTCAACTTTGGACCTTCTGCAAACTCTATATGGTGGCTTAGATCTAGCTTCGGGGCCTACGTCTACCATCTTCTCTCTCTAAGAGACTGGAACAGTTCAGCAGCAACCTCTGCCATTTTTTTTCCTGGAATTGTTTAATTTTTCTTTTGGAGCTGGAATTCTGGGCTGAGAGTCAGGACAGTTCAGGGGAGCGTCACTCAAGTACGTCTTGGCTTGACTTGAAGAGCAGGGTCAAGAGTGAGGACAGGATCTCTTAGTGGAGATGACACCAGAAGAGAAGTCAGGAAGTCTCAGCCCAGCTCTGGGCAGTAGGTAGTGAGCTCTATTGCTTTGGATAAATCCCTTCCTCTCTCTGGGCCCCTCCTAATAAATGAAGGGGCAAGACTAGAAGCTCACAGTGGTTAGTTCAAGCATGGCCATTTAATAGATCTGGCAGATTACAGAGGGAGATTTGGGGCCTCTTCCAGTCCTTTAAGGATTATTTCAGGAATGGTGGTCATGGGCTCTCCCTAACTGTCTCTCAGAGCTGGAAGGAGTAGAGGCAGACACAGCCTGGAAGACATGCCTAGTGTGCTTGATATGGAAAAAATAAGGAGAGTGCCTAGGAAACTGGACGCCATTTGACCTTTCCTATCATTATGAATAAGTGCCCTCCTATCTGCCTGCTGGGAGAGGGCAGTCAGGGTCAATCTCTTTCAAATGGAAGAAAAATCAAACAATCACAGACTCCCTCAGTTGGGAACAATCTCAGAAAGCATCTGCTCTAACTTCTCCCCACCTGAACGAGATTCCCATCTACAGCTTTCCCAGCAAGTGTTTCCACTTCAGGCTGGCATCCCCAGAGCCCAAGCCCAGGGCCTGGCACATAAGCCGAGATCATAAATCCTTAGCAATGGATTGATGACTGAAGAGTCATCCAGCCTCCTCTAGAAGACCTCCAGTAAGTAGGGAGACCACTACCAGGAGGCAGCTTCCTGGCGTGGTGGATAGAACAGTGGACTTGGAGTCAGTAAGTTCAAATCCAGCATCATATACTTTACTAGTTGTCTGATCACTTAACCTCTGTCTGCCTCAGTTTCCTTAACTTCCTAAAATGGGGATGATGATAATACCTCCCAGGATTGTTGTGAAGATCAACTGAGATAATATTTGTTAAACACTTAGCACATAGTGGGTGCTATATAAATGTGAGCTGCATCTCCCCTCCCTGCCATGGCTCCTAGCTCTGCTTTTAGGGGGTGAGGGGCTAAACAGAATCATTCCTCTTACTGGTGCCTGCCCTTCTAGGGGCTGAAGGCAGCCCTCATTCTTCCTCATGAAACCCACCAAAGCGTAGTCATGAGAGAACTGGATTTGCAATTGGGAAGATGCAGTTTGGAATTCTGCCTCAGATACTCACTAGCAGTATGACTCTGACAAGTCACTTCTCTGTGCCTCAGTTTCCTTTTCTGTAAAATGAGGAGGTTGAACTTGATGACCGGGTCTAAATCTATCTTCCTGTGTCCCCTTGTCAAGACTTCTTTTCTCCTAGCCCAAAATGGTCAGTTCCTAACAGGTTATGACTTGTAGGACCTTTCCTACACCCTGGCTGTCTCCTCTGGACACCATCTAGCTTATAAATGTGCTTCCTGAAATGTGTCAAATGAACAGGATATTTCAGATATGGGCAGATAAGGGTGGACCATAGTAGGACTGTCAACTCCCTAGTTTGGGACATTATACCGTTGTTCAATACAGGCCAAGATTGTGTTGGCTTTATTGATTGGCATATGACATTTTTGAGGCTGTCTTACCTCACACACTGAACCTTCAGGACAGC